TTGCAAGCCCTTGAGAACCAGAGCTCCCTTCATCAGATGCAAAACTCTGACTCTCGGGCGTTTACAGCCAGAGAATCCAGCTGTGGGGGGGACGGGACTCGAGAAGACTCTGCTCAGGGGCGGCACGAGGCCCCGGAGGCTGGCCAGACCTCCGTTTGTTCCTGGATACCCTTTCCTCCTCTGATGCCGGCAAAGACGGCTGATGGGGGAGAGCCAAGTTTAATCCCAACATTCTGGCAGAGACAGGCTTTCCTGTTCCTAGACAGAGAGCACGTCTTTCTGACATGCATCATGGGTTGGCAGTCCTCCCTTCCGTGCGCCGCAGAACACAGCGACAGCGCCCAGCTCCTTTCTGCACAGGATGGTGGCCTTTCCGGCAGGAGAGACGGGCAGCAGTTGCACGGGAGAAGAGGAGGGCGCGGACTCGATGCCGCCCAGACGCACCCCGGGTTTCAGGGCCGGCGGCCTCCATGAGCGCACGCCCGAGAGATGCCCGCTCGAGGCGACCGCGGCCAGCCCAGGCTGCTTTGGAGCCTCCCTACCTTGCCCGTCCTCCCCCCCCCACCTCAGCTTGGCAAAGGCCCTCCCAGTGGGTGCCAGCCCACAGCCCCGGGGCTCCGTTCCCCCACCCCATCTCCAGCTCCGCTAGAACATTAGTTCACTGCTTGGTCAACGGTGGGCACGAACAAAATGGGGGGGAATTGAATTCTGGTCACCCGTCACCCTCCTTCCGGTGGGTGTAATGGGGAAAACAACATATGCCGCCGAGAAGAGCCGGCCAATTATTAGTGCCAAAATAAAGGAATAGGAAGGCTCTGAGGAGGCTCTTGTCATTCGCCACGCTGAGTCAGTCGGGACTGAGCTCCCCCAGGGAAGCGGGGGGGGGGGTGATGCAGGAGGCAGCCGTGGGGAGAGGGCAGGTGGGGAGTGGGTCAGCACTGGAGGCTTCCGCAGAGCCCTTCTCCCTGCCCTTTCAGCCAGCACAAGATTCCTGATGCGAGTGACGCCCCTTAGGCCTTCCTCCTCCCACCCTGCAGTGCGGGACAGCAAGAAGCAAACCCGAGGGACCGCCTTTCCCCATATGTACCCCAGGGGACACTGCGGTCAGGGACCCAGAATCGGCTTTAAGGAGGCCAGGTTGGTGGTAACCAGGGCCAGGGCTTTTTCGGTGGCGGCTCCACTCTGGTGGAATGAGCTCCCAGAGGAGACCAGGGCCCTGCGGGCCCTCGCACAGTTCCGCAGGGCCTGCAAGACGGAGCTCTTCCGCCGGGCTTTTGGAGCCGCCGCCACTAACACCTCTCCCGCCAACGACTGATATCTATGTTGGCGGAACCCTGACCCCGCTGGTCCCCGAAATACTGCCCCAGCCAATCACCCGAGACTGCTGAGGCAGACCGAAGAGCTGACCATTAAATGAGGAATGTTGCTCGCACTTTACGATGTCTGAGTTTTAATACTGCATTTATTAGTTCATGTCATTTTATGTGATTGTATTGTTGGGATTTGACTCTGTTTTGTAAGCCGCCCTGAGCCAGTCCAGGCCGGGGAGGGCAGGATAAAAATCTGATAAATAAAAGAAAAGAAAAGAAAAGAAAAAGCGAATGTGGGGAGGGGGAGGACAACTAGATTTGAGGCCAGGAACACCTTAGAGACCAATTAGATTTTTTTTTGGGAGGGGGGGGGGAGTCTGAGCTGTTGAGAGTCAAAGATCCCTCTGACAGGCAGGGGTCATTTCCTGCAGGAGCGCACGGGAGCTCCGGCAGTAAAGAGCCCAGGGGGCGGGCACATGCAACAAGCCCCACCCCCTGCTCCCAGCAGCCCTCAGTCAGAGCAAGAAGCAGCCAGGTAAATTGCAGAGCTCCCCCCGGCCCCCCCGGCCCAAAACAGTCCAGTGGCACCTTTAAGACCAGGTTTTATTCAGGTACGAGCTCTCCCTCCTCTGCGAGGACAGATCTGCACGTTCCTCCCCTCCCCCCCAATAGCTAGCAATCCAAAACAGTCCAGGGGAGCCTGAGCGGTGGTTGTTGCCTTCTGACACACTTCCGGTGATGTCAGGGGGTGTGACATATGTAAATAAGTTATGCTAATGAGTTATGCTAATGAGCTCCTGCACCTCTTTTTCTACGAAATGACCCCTGCCGACAGGTACAATTTGGCATGGAGGCCCTGGAGCCCTGATTCTCCCAGTCAGAAGGCGATGTTGCACAGAAGGGATTCGGGATGCAGGGGGTACAATGCAGAATGCTGTCAGCTTCATCAGAGCTGGTCAGACAGCATCATGGCTCCTTTCTCTGCAACATCCCTTCTGCCTTCTGACTGGGAGATAAAAAGAAGAGATCGACGGAAGAAGAGAGAGAAGAGATTGGATTTATACCCCGCCCTTCACAGAGCGGCTTACAAACTCCTTTCCCTTCCCCTCCTCGCAACAGACACCCTGTGAGGTGGGTGGGGCTGAGAGAGCTCTGACACAAACTGCTCTTGAGTGAACAGCTCTGAGAGAACTTGTGACTGACCCAAGGTCACCCAGCTGGCTGCATGTGGAAGAAGAGTGGGGAATCAAACCCTGTTCTCCCAGATTAGAGTCCGCGCTCCTAACCACGACACCAGACTGGCTTTATCCCCCGCCCTTCACTCGGAGTCTCAGAGCGGCTCCCCTTCCTCGGGGTCTCCTTTCCCTTCCCCTCCCCACAACAGACACCCTGTGAGGTAGGTAGGGCTGAGAGAGACCTTTCATAGTTCCGCAAGGCCTGTAAGACGGAGCTCTTCCGCCAGGCTTTTGGAGCCGCCGCCACTCGTACCACCACTACTACTGCCAGCACTACCAACGATTGACGTCTTATGTTGGTAGAGCCCTGATTTGCTGGATCCCTTAATTACTGCCTGAGCGAATCGCCCTAGATAGCTGAAGAGGATCAAAGAGCTGACTGTGAAACGAGGAATTAACTTTGCTAGCTCTTTACTATGTTTGGTTTTAACGTCGTATTTTATTAATTGATGCTGTGATTTTATGTACGTTAGCTGTTGCAGATTTTCCAGGTTGTGTGGCCGTGGTCTTGGCATTGTAGGATCTGACGTTTCGCCAGCAGCTGTGACTGGCGTCCTCAGAGGTATCACACAGAAAGATGGAGTATTCTCTGTGTCAAGGTGAGAAGAAATACGGTAGGCAGGTAATTTATATCTACTCAGGAAGGTGGGGTAGGGCTGAGTTATTATCTTGTAGGAGTTCCCCAGGCCGTGACATGCTAATGGAAGACTCAGCCCTACCCCACCTTCCTGAGTAGATATAAATTACCTGCCTACCATTTTCGTTTCACCTTGACACAGAGAGTACTCCATCTTTCTGTGTTATACCTCTGAGGATGCCAGAAACAGCTGCTGGCAAAACATCAGGTCCTCCAATGCCAAGACCACAGCCATACAGCCCGCAGTGCCAAGAGCAGAGCCATACAAATCTGCAACAGCTAGTGAACTCCGGCTGTGAAAGCCTTTGACAACAAATTTATGTACATTATTGGAATTTTACTTCGTAAGCCACCCTGAGCCAGCCTTGGCTGGGAGGGCGGGATAAAAATCTAAGTAATGGTAGTAGTGGTAGTTACATCACCAGAAGTGTGTCAGAAGGCAATGAGAGAACAAGGGATCACTGTTCTGACTTGTGTGTGACGAAGGGAGCTGTAATTTTCGAAATCTTATACCCTGGAAATCTTGCTGGACTCTACGGTGATCCTGGATTCGAATCCAGTTATTCCACTGCAGACCAACATGGCTACCCTCAGAAATGAAATTCGGGGGGGGGGATGAGAATGTACAATAATACCTAGACGGAGGGGATTGAAAAGAGAACGGGGGAGGGGACATTGACAGCACAGGGAAGAAGCCTGATCCCCCCACAAAAAAAGAAGTCATGGGGGGGGTTCCCCTGCTTAGATTGGGGCCATGCCCACAGCACTGTTGGGGGGGGGGGAGTGCTGTCAGCTCTTTCTCCCCTCTGCCAATCTGCAGCTGCAACGGCTCCCCCTCCTGCCAACCTGCTGTATCCGGGGGCGGGGGGACACATACAGGTGCCCACATGACAGCTGCTAGGTCTAAATTCCAGGCGTTGACCTCAGCCTCC